TGTAAAATCATTTTCACTTTCAAGCTCACTGTATTTCCACCTAGGTTTTGCCTTGTGGTTTTATCATACTACTGAAACTGCTAGCCAACAATCATCTCAACCAAATCCTTCATCATATCCAATTCTAACACAACTCTTTCTTCCTTTTATCTTGAATCTCCAAGTTAACTTCTTAATTTCTTTGCAGAACTTTTGCCGTCTAATTTTATAAACGTTATTCAGACAGATTGTATGCATCAATGTCATAAAATCAGAAGAAAGTGAGAAGGAAACTCAAGATTTCACCTACCCAAGGGAAGGCCAATTCTTACTAAATAATTTCTGAACAATAACTTTAAGATTTCTTATAAAGAAGGCCTTGAAAATTGGTGTTTTATATCTTCTCCTGAAAAGTCAGTTTCAGTTTCTATTTTCCTGCTTAAAAAGTTATTCCTAATAACAGTCCTAAAGTCCTAGCAGCATTTTCAGCTTTTTTTCTGTCCTATCAGAGTGAACATGGAGAACAACTTGTTACCCTCATATTTTCAGCAACCTTTTACATAATTGAAGACTGAAATCATGCCCTCTTTCTGCAATTTTTTTTTTTTTAAAGACTAAACAACTTTAGCTCCCTCAATCTTAACATGTAAGGTGTATTTTTTGACTTCTAATTATTTTACAGTCTTGGGGTTTCTCTCCAGGTGAATCACACCTCTTTTGAAGTGGGACTTACAAAAGTAGGCACAGAGATCCACCTGAGATCTTAGCAGGAGCAAGAAAAAGGGAAAGGCGATTTATTTTTTTTCTTTTCAGTAAAACATACAAGGGATCTATGTATTTCAATGAGGGGAGAGCCTTTGTTGGTTTTGATATGTTTTCCCCCACTCAGTGTGCAGGCTGATGATTTATCATAAGTTCAAAAACTGTTCTTCAGACCTGTATTTAATTAGACATTCCCTATTTTATTACTGGATTGTTCATTACTTGTGTCCTTATCATTTTTGAGTTGCAATTTATTTACAAAGAACATCGTCTCTAGTCTGCAAAAAATAAAAATAAAGCTTCAGTTTTTCTGTTCTTTCCTCGTGGTCAGCTTTCACTATGAACAATGCTGTGCTCAGGATATAACCTTGGGGAAACACCTGACACATCCTTCCACATAGACAATAAAGGAAATACGAATTTTTGAACAACAGAGTTGCAAAAATTAGACATCATGAATTTTCACTAGGTTTGTATTTCACTGATGGCTTACAAAGATATTATCAAATGAGTATCAAAAATATTGATAGGGAGTTTCTCAGCAGCTAAGAAACAAAATTTCACTTAAGTTTGTGTTTTCCTCCAACGCACTATTGCTGTTTATTAGAAGAATAAGGAGTTTCTATGACTCATGATCATTTCCATGCAACTCTTGATTCCACAAATTCAAGTCACAAACACAAATCTATGTACTGGAGCAGACTGTGGTGGGGCTCTGGCGACACGTCTTGTCTGAAGAACCCACAAAAGTGTGGTTTGAATTTAAGGAAATTTCTTATTCTTTCACATATCCCCATGCATGCTGAACTGATAGCAGTTGGTGTCACAGTATGCCTTTTTGAAGAGAGAAGGACTAAGAAACAGTACAGCAGTATTTTCAGAGAACTACAAACATACATACAAACCTGCTAAGAAATGGCTTGTGCTTAGATCTGCCTAGACCACCCAACCCCTTTCAGCAGCTAGCTGAGCTTGCATGCTGTACCCATAGACTTGATGCAATGTCTTTTATACTCTTACAGATGGTTGAGATCTTTCTCAGCATGTTCAAATGGCCCTTTTCAAGTGACCCTTCATACCGTATCTGTGCCCAATTAAGAAAGTGGCATAGAAGTCCCTATAGGAGGGTGGGTTGCAAAGCATAAAATCTGAGCAACAGTTTGATATTTGTTTTTGTTTCGCTTCTGCAAAAGACCTAAAATTATGACAAATTATGTAAAAAAACCTGTATCTTCCACAGCAGATAGAATATTTACCTCCAACATAAGAACACTAAAGTCCTACCTCTTGATCATAAAGATGAAAAAATTGAGTCTGAGTCTCCTACGTTTCAGAAGAAAGTCTCAAAATTTTGGTTCTTGGATATCCTTGAGGAAAGGCAAGGAGGTCTTTTCCTTCAGTCTTTCATTCTCTGTTCCCACCTCTTCAAACATACTCTTCGACCAGATCTACCCATGTTGCTTACGCATACGGTCATACATCAGTTTTCCTAAGCACTATTTTTGTTCCTCTGAATACCCTTCATTTTTATGAATCATATTTTCTAGGAAAAATGACAGTTCTATTCTAGACTCGTGCTGAAAAGCACGTGTATCTTCTCATTGCAGATCCCTTAATGATTAAAGTTTAAGATGAAATCCCCTCTTCAACAGCTAGAAAAAGACCTATTAAAACTGTGAAAGAATTTAAAGCATATGATTTCTAAGCCAGTTCTGCTATTAACAATCTGAATTTCTTCTCCTTAAATGCACTAACACAAACTGCTCTTTTGGCCAGAAGCAGCAAAGAATAGAGCAGGCTGTGGTATTTCCTTCAAATAATCCTGTGTTTGTGCCAAAAGCCTACCTATTTTTTCTTACATCAAATATGGTGAGTTCAGAATAGCTGTAGCTCATGTTAAAGGAGAGTAAGCTCCTGATTTTTTTTAAATTTGCTTTTGGTATACTTAGAGAAAGTATTTCTGGAATACATTTTAGGACTCATCAGCACCTCAAAAAATGATTTATTGGCATTGGTTTGAGCAGAACATAAAGAAGAGAAATGACTCCTTGCTGCTGTTAGAGACTGGGGGGAAAGGTTCTTAGAAGTGCATTTCTAAGATACAACTTGCTTGGCTGATGAAGGCAGCTAAGGAAGTTCTCACTATGTTCAAATTGATGTGATCGTTAAAGTCTAATTTGCCCACCCACTCCTTCTTTTCTCCTGCAATGTCCAATCTTAAAAACAAATGGACAGATGTTCTTTTGGATCAGCTTGTAAGACTTGCAACGTCAGAAGTGCAAACAGACTTTAGCTGTTTAGTTCAGGAAATGAAATACAGACAATCTGATAAACAAACAGTGTTTATTTCTCCAGCTTAAAGTGTGCTTTGGATTTCTTTTCAAAATACTCCTACAAGGAACTATGAATATTAAACATGTGCTCCTAATTTAGAGATCTCAATGTCAAGGTCAGAGTGGTCTTTAACGTACTCAATTTGTATAGTGAGGTTATAATGCAAATGAAGGTCCCTGAACTCTAACCATATTAAAGAAACAATAACAACAAATTTTATTTACATAGAAATTTACTCCAAAAAAAGCTTATAAGACCTATGAATACACAAAGATGAATTAGAATAACAAGACTTAGGACAATGCATGATGTAAAGTATGCTGCAATTTAATCTGAGAGAAAGAGAGACAAGCAGACAGGAAGACAAACAGAGGTTTAAATTAGCTGATACATAACTATATAGTTTGGACTGAGGCAAGCCAGAGTGGAAAATATTCTTAGGCTCCACTGATTCAGTATTTTATGTTTATTGGGTCATGTATTTAGATATCATTCAAATGGTTCTTCCTTACCAGCAGCAAAATTGAAACCTATTGCAGCATTTTGCTGAGACATTATTTCATTGTTAATTCTGTAGAGGGACATGTGATGCCCTGATTTTCAGCCATAACTACGTGGACCACACAGCACAGAAGAGACCAGCATATGTGTCTCCAGAATGCTTATATGGCTCTTATACCTGTCCTATATATACACACCAGGGGGAAGTGAGCTGGCACAGCAGCATGATTTATACTGTAAAAAGTCAGCAAGGATATTTTTCCTATTCTGAGATACAGAAGAAGTAGGTGAATTTTGTAGTAACTCATAGTATTCTCTGAAGAGAAGAGAGCTACATACTTTCTGTCCTTTGGGGCTTGCATAAAACCACAATTTGGCCCTTAAGAAAGAGGACAGATACCCATTGAGTCATCAGTAACATTTCCTGCATTGCTTCAGACACCTCCCTTCCAGCTATGCAGTAAGCATCATTTTCACCAGGAGGTGATTCAGAATTCAAGAAACAGTCATTTTTCCAAGCAACGGAGGACTCTCACTGAATGAGTTATGGTTTAAACAGCTTTTAAGTTTAAAATGAATTCAAATTCAAGTGAAAGAAGTTCAACAAGTAGCACTGAGCCATGAAACCTCTTACTTGCTGTTCTAAAAAGGACCACTCCATATTTGACACCTTTCACTTTTTTCCTAGCCCTGATCTCTGTGCCACTCTTTTTTAGCAGGAATAATGAAATTAAAAAGAAAATTTAGAAAGTGGTTGTAGAGACTTATGTACCCCCTATAGTTCTTGTTTTGTCTCTTGTAATAAACAAGAGCCTCCTCAGAATATGACTGATGATTCACTTAAACAGTGGAAGTATTATACAATTAGCTTATCAAAGAGAAATTATGTTTTACTTTGGCTATCAGCCAGCAAATCAAGAGAAAAATACCTTTCAGACTGTTTTTTTTCATCCAATGAGATGCAAACCAATAAGCCGTGAAAGATTCTGTGAAGCTTCTTGTATTTATCCTAGACTTCAAGAACTTGAGATGAAGTTGTACTACTCATCTGTCTGTATTTCTGTTGTACTTCCTACATGCTGTCTGAAATCTTCACGTGTGATTACAAAAGAAGCTAACTAATAAGGATATCAATATACCTATGAAAAATTCTGTACTCTAACAGCAATAACACAGAGACTACTATTTGTACATAATTTGAAATATTTTCCCCAAGCTCTTCCTTGTAAATGTCATCATAAATAATGAAAACATTCATGTTTTATACACACAGAGCCCTTGTTTCCTTCTGATCTATGTTTCAGACTGAACACTTCATTTCAGGAATCTCCTGTCTCCTTAAAGGGCAAGTTGGGATTAAAATACACTTCTTTTTTTTTTTCGTATTTCATGTACCGCTTTGCAAATAAAACAGCCAATCTTACCTTTAAAGAAATGATGAGATGCAGCAAAATTTATGGCTTTCTCACCTCAAGCCATAACATGTCTTTAGTTGTAGTCTATAACTTTCTGTAAGAGGGATTGCAGCTCTCTGCAGAATCCAGGCTTGAATTCTGCCCCTGTAACACAGGAAACAAAAGAACACATTCTGTAGCTGAGGGTTGTCCCTACTGCATTTAAGGTCCTTAACTAGCAGACAGTACTAGCATTTCTCCCTTTAAATGACCGTAAGACCAGGTGCAGCTGGTCAGTAAATTAAAGTCATCCACTGCCTACTTACACCCAGCCTGTGGGAGAGTATCAAGAGACAGCCCAAGGCACTACAATGCGAAGTTGAGTAAGTTTTATGTCTAATGTGAAGAGTGAAAAGGCAACTATGGGCAGAAGCGAAGGGTGTCATATGCAGTAAAGGCTGCCCTGCTCGTGTGGTCTTCAGATGAGCTACGTCAGAGGTCTTTCTACTTAAGTTATTGTAAGGCTTCTGGAAGCTATACCTAAAGGGTCAGGCTCTTTAGCAGGGTCTGTTGCAATAGGACAAGGGGAAATGGTTACAAAAGAGAGGAGATTTAGATTGTATATAAGGAAAGTGAGTGTGGTGAGGCACTAGAACAGATTGGCCAGAGAGGTGGTGGATGTCCCATCCCTGCAGATACTCAAGGCCAGGCTGGATGGGGCTCTGAGCAACCTGATCGAACCGTTGGTGTTCCTCTTTGCAGGGGACTATATGATCTTTCAGAGTCTCTTCCAATCCAAGGATTCTACGTGGGGAGACAGAATAGCTTTCTACCCCTCTTTTCCCAGAAGTCACAACTTCAGATACACACCTTCACACGTGTGTGTGTATATATAAATACATACCCGTTATCGTAGCGCATCCTCTTCCCTCACACCTCCACACGGCCGCAGCGGGGCTGTCCCCGGGCCACCAATTCACCAGGCGTCCCCGCCCAAGGGGAACGAGCCGTCCCTCCCCGCCCGGGGTGTGGCCTGGCGGTGGCGGTGCTCTCGGCCGCTGCTGGAGGCGGCGGGGCCCTGGGCTCGTCCCACATATATCCCCGCCGCTCCGCTCGTCCCGGCTTGTCCTCGCTGCGTTCTGCGGCCGCTGGGCTATGGCCGGGTCCCTCAGCGCTGCCAGCTAGTCCCGGGAACCGAGCTGCCCTCCCTCCCGCGGCTTCGTATTCCAGCCTCTGCCCTCCCGTGTGCCGCTCTCCGCGAGGACTTCCCACCCGCGCGAGCGCTGCTCGACTTTCCCGTCCCTCGCTGCACCGCGACCGCGCTTTTCCTCTTCCTTTCTCGCGCCCCTCCCGCCGCTCTCCCTGCAGCCGAGGATGCGGCTGTCGCTGCTCAGCCCGCTGCTCCTGCTCTGCCTCAGCCGTGGCTCCGCTGAGATCCCGGCAGCCCGAGCCAAGTGCCCGACCCGCTGCGATGTCTCCAAGTGCCCCAGCCCCAGCTGCCCCAGCGGCTACGTCCCCGACCGCTGCAACTGCTGCCTCATCTGCGCCGCGGGAGAGGGGGACTCGTGCGGCCGCAAAGAAGACCCTCCCTGCGGGGACAGCCTCGACTGCCGCTACCCCATGGGTAAGCGCTTCGCCAAGGGGGTCTGCCAGTGCAAGCTCAGCGCCCAGGTGTGCGGCAGCGACGGCCGCACCTACGACAACATCTGCCAGCTGAAGGCGGTGAGCCGCAAGGCACTGCAGCACGGTCTGCCCGCCGTCGCCCAGGTGCAGAAAGGAGCCTGCGAATCGGGTAGGAGCATGGCAGGGCCTGCGGCGGGTGGTGTGCGCAGGAGGGTGGGGAAAGGTGAGGTTTGGGGTCGTTGGGAGGGCTGGGGGCTCCCCCCGGGCAAGGCAACCTGTCCTCATGGTGGTAGTCGCTGTGGTGGGGGTCAGGGACATGTGAAGGGATCGGGTCCTCTCTGAACAGTGCAGATCCTTCTTCTTGATCCTCTGATAGAGGTCGGGAAGGTTGCACGGTGGTGGCATGGTTGTGGATACCTCAGTGTTGTGCCCATTGCATAGCAGTGACCACAGGCACAGTTGTCAGGTCAGTACAGCACTGACACCCTCCAGGCAGCAGTACAAGCTTCCCCCGATACCGTCTGCATCACCCTTGTTTTGGAATCATTAAGGTTGGAAAGAACACTAAGATCATCTAGTCCAAACACTGGCCTATGCCTGTGGCCTCTCTAGGCCATGTCCCTCAGTGTCACACCTGTTCTTTTATTGAAAACTTCTACAGATGGTGACTTTACCACCTCCCTGGGTAGCCCATTCCAATACTTCACTCTTCCTGAGAACTTTTTCCTAACATCCAACCTGAACCTCCTGTGGTGCAACTTAAAGCCGTTACCTCTTGTCTTATTGCTGTTACCTGGGAAAAGAGGCTGACCCACACCTCTCTACAAGCGCCTTTCAGGGAGTAGTAGGGAGCAATAAGGTCTCTCCTGAGCATTCTTCTCTCCAGACTGAACCATCCCAGGGTTGGCACTCACTATTGATGCTTTTCAGTGATGTTACATGCCTGGGCTGCTCTGCAGAGCTGTTATAACACATCCTACACAGAGCGCAGCCCTGTAGGTGTGCTCTGAGACCTTCCCTGGAGATGTTAGCAGATGTTAAATTTATTCAACGGGTGAGTATCTCTAGAGGATACTAGGTAAAGCTGTGTAGCTTAAACTGCGCAGAAAAAGCACCACATAGAATATGTGAAGTATAGTCTTTCATCTGTTTTATTTTTCTCTGACAGGAGATCTATAGTCTTGTGGAATTGAAAGGGGAATGGATGCCTGCAAATTTTCTTTATGGTTTAAAATGCACAGTCAGGATATCAGACAGTCCTTTGTTTTTCATTAGCATACTACAGCCTTTGCTTGTCCTATGCTATTGTAATAATCTGTGATAACCTCAGGCTGGATGGTATAACTTTAAAAAGCTCAGTAACCACCTACATTGAATTTTTTTTGTCGTTGTTACTAAAATTGGTCACTTCATGGAAGTGTTAACATTTCTAGTTTATTTTCACACATTTCCTTGTATATTATTTTAAGGTGGTGTTTCTACATCCTTTCAAATACTGTTCCTGGAAAGAAAAATCATGTGTGTAACAGGGTTTTAAATCATGTATTAGTGCATCCATAATGGCAGGTGAACCACTTAACCATTTTACTTATTTATAGATAGCAAACTTCTTAAAAACTAGGAGAGGTGAAAGGGGTATTGATGGCCTTTAAAACCTTTCTGTGACTGGGGGACTTCTCATATATTCACTCTTCAAAGAAAGCAAACTGTGACATGAGGAGGGAGGAGGTCAAACAATATTCCCAAATTTTCTTTCTGAGTATCTTTTCAGAGCCCAGGATTGCTCAGGTGCTAGCCCAGAGCTGTAATGATGAGTCTCGCCAGTATTTTGCAGTTATAAGTTGCTGTTTGTTTCTTTGTATTCCCCATAAGCATCCATTAGCTTTAGTACTTGGTTGGAACTGGCTCGCTTGACATATTTAGAGTGTTCAATCAAAATGAGTGAGCGAGCCTGCGTCCAGGGGCTTAGATACTGTCAGGGGGTTGGAATATGATTTTTTTTTTTTGAGAACTCCTCCTGAGCCTGCTGTTTAATAGGCTTAGGAATTCAGAGCATTGAAAAAAGCTTTTTTTTTTTTTTTTCCAAGCAACTGTTTTAGTGTTCACTTTATTTTGGCTTTATGTTTTGTTCTGGTAAACCTCAGCTTAGTAAAAGCATCTGGTTCTCTGTGAAGTTTTAATTTTTTTTTTACTCAATTCTACAGCTGTACAAACTGAAGCTCAAAGAAACTAAGTGTCTTGCCCAAGGTCATATTGAGCTGGTGGTTGAGCCAGGAATAGAACTCAGTTATGGTACTTTTTTTTTTTTTTTTTTTTTTTTTTTTTAAACAATAACATGCAATGTCTGTAATGAGAGGTTTTAGAAGAAAATCAACAGTTTGAAATTATTGTCGGGTGTCTCTATTTTCCCCACTGGTGAAAGAAATCTGGCCTCAAATGACTCAGAGTTTGGAGGCTTAATCTAGTTAAAAAGTCATTGCAGTTTTTTACTTACCCATGCATACGTTAAAACAATTATAGGCAATAGTAGCCTTACATAGCATGACTTAGGTCTTTTCAGAATCTTCAGTGGCTCTGAGGAGCATCTCTAGAAACTTCTGCTTCTATCACAGAATCATAGAATGGCTTGAGTTGGAAGGGACCTTAACGATCTTCAAGCTCCACCCCCCCCACCACAGGCAGAGCCACCAACCTCCAGATCTGGCACTAGACCAGGTTGCCCAGGGCCCCATCCAACATGGTCTTGAAAACCTCCAGGAATGGAGCATCCACAGCTGCTCTGTGTAGCCTGTTCCAGCACCTCACCATTCTCTCTGAAGAACTTCCCTCTGACATCCAGTATAAACCTTCTCTCTTTGAGCTTAAAACCATTCCCTGTTGTCCTATTACCCTCTACCCTTGTAAAAAGTCGATTTCCTTCCTTTTTATAATCAGCTTTTAAATACTGGAAGGCTGCAATGAAGTATTCTTATACTACTTATGCTGTTAGTTTTACACATCTGAGCAGACCCATAGTCTGGACCCATAGGAATGGTATGCAGAACTTCTGGACATATTTAAATTTTGTGTTACAAGTAATTGTGATGGTGTTTTTTTTCCCACCTGTTTAAGTTACTGTATAGTAATATACTGAAGCAGTTAGCTTTTTCCTTTCATTCGTCACTTTCTGTCACAAAGTTGTATAGACGAGAGTAATGCCATAAATGTTTATGTAAGACAAACTCTGTAGTCAAAGACCTGTTCCTACAGAGATTTATTTTCCACTGTAGCAAATACAAGATTGGACAGTGTTGCACATCAATCTATTAAAATGTCCTCGCTCGAAGTATTCATGAGATCACGTGTAATTTATGGCTGGTTTATCTCAGATATTTTCTTACACAGAGGGATCTTCATGAGCTCTCAATACAGCATTATCAGTACCGTTAATAATTCTTTGCAGTTTTATTTTGCTTATGGGTTCTTGAAAGATTGGTCCAATGTCAAAAGAAGATTTGGATTTTCTTTCTAAGAAAAAATGAAAGACTGATTAGAAAACCTTCAAAAAAGGAAATTCCAGGAAGCAAGTCCCATTGGTTTTAAAAGTGATCGTTTGCAGGGTTCTGCCTTGTATAACTGAAGTCACTGTTGCAAAGTGGGCATGCTGTAAAGCCTTGCCCTTGTCTTGCAAAGATTTAACTGACAGGAGCCTAGAAGTTCAGTTCCTGAAAAAAAGCAATTGAAAATACAGTTAGCCTAAGGAGTGTAAATGCTAGTAGTTCTGCCTGGGGCATTTGGAATATGCAAGTGTGTAATCATAAAGATACAGAGGAGTAACTAACTGAGCATGTAATTGCTTGCATTTCTGAGAAATTCTCCAATTAAGAGGTACTGAGGTCTCCTACCAGCATTGCTGTCATCAGAGCTTTGTAACTGCCTCCAGCTCTATTTAGAGAAACGTGTTGCAAGGTATTGGCTGCAAGTAAACTCCAATTACATTTCTTTACTGATTGTTTTCCTTATGTATGACATTATTTTGAGTTCCTGCAGGTGAGGATGAATCTTGTACACTGTTTGTGTATTTTGAGAGTACAGCACTTTATGTTCTCATAAAAGATATCCATCAAGAAAGAGATGTTCTTCAAGTGAGAATCACTTGGGAAGGAGGAATAACAATCTTCTGAACTCAGTGAGGTGGTTAAGTACCTTTGATGGAAGGCATGCACTAATTTTTCTGTCTAGTCATTGTGACTGCTGTACTGCACAAGAAAGCAACTTTGGTGTTGGTTCACCAAATTGTTTTCATCTGTTCATGGTAGACATCCATTGTATAAACAAGTTGCCTGAACCATACAGTGGGATTAA